TGGTATCGAAACCCGGTTTCTAGCGTTGTAAGTCCGCAGACATAACGCTGTGCCACTGGGGGGCTATTTTATCAGTGATTATATATTGGGTTATATATCCACTATCTATGGCCACATGTTTAAGATAGTTAATCTCACTGAAAACGTCAGTACCATTGGTTGAAATACTAAAAAGGGACAAGAATTTGTATGTATTGGTACAGTGACTGCAAAAGGTTCCAAAAACATCTTAAATCTGAGTTTCTATCTACAAAAACGTTTAAGAAAGTCAGCTGGTTATTTTGTTCACTTCAGTATGTAAATTTAATGTTATCATGTGAATTGATTAATTGGTGTAAAAATTCCTTAAACTTAATGTCACAGTGACTCCACACTACACGAGTACCATACATATACCTCAATCAAAATATTTAAGTTACAGTTGAGAAATAACACTGGTTTCAGAATAATCAATTAAAATGTTGCAAAGTTGTGGGGAGAGAGATCCCCATAGGTAATCCTTGAATTGGAGATTATAATGTATTTATTTGAAAAAAAGAGACATAATACAAGTTTTTGATTTTGTTAATTTCAAGTGGAGATATGTTATTCTGATTAACCTGTCTTCAAAACAGCTAATGGCCTAATTCACAGTGACTGAAGTAAATAAAGATACAATATCTAATGAAACCATAACATTATTATGGGATAGTTTTAAAGACTATATTTGATTAGCAAAGTGTGTTGAATTTTTAATACAGTGTTTATGATGTGGGGGTAAGAAATAAAGTTTATTGACTTTGAATTTGGCAATAACATATGATGAAGAACTAACAACAGAAGCAATTGGATGACAAGGGATATTTTCTTTGTATATTTTAGGTAGCACATAAAACTGTGCAGGAATGAAATTAGATGGTAATAATTTATAAGTCTGAATAGGGGTTAAAAGAAAGGTGTAGCTGGGGTGGTGGTTAGAGGCTTGAATGACTACCCCATAATTCTAAAAGTCTAAAAGGTCCACTGTCTTCTAATATATTTTTTAACAAACACTTTTATGTAAATCACTTATATTCTTTGTGTAGAAGAAAAGGTCTACCTTTTTGGAAAAAGACCTTCACACACACACACACACACACACACACTGTAGTGCTGATTAAAGGGAATACAATATTTCAAAGTGTTCCTAACTCTTTCATGATAAATGTTAGTGGGGTTTATAGTAGATAATTTATATGACCATCTCTTAACAATTTTTTATTAATGGCTTTTATTTACAATGATAATGCAATTACTTTTGTAACAGGTAGGCCAGTGAAGGTCAGGCATTTGGGTTCGACTTTTCACAAGTCACAAATGAATTTATTTAAATTCCAGGAAGGTAGTCGTGTGTAGCTAAGTGAGTACTGAGGCCAATCAAGAATCAACCCAGAGACTGATGATACAAATAACATACAATGCTTTATTCTACATCCATATCTAATATATTGAAATAGTCATTAAAATCAAAAATATGAATTGTCTTCATTTTGATTATGTTTAAGTAAGCCTTCTATCAGGTTCTTTAATACTGATACTAAATTATTACATGAAATATATACAGGCATAATCGAGTGTTAGTGAGAGAACTTATATTATTTAGTTCATATACTAGACTTGTTAGACTAGAGAAGATGTCAATCGAAACATGGAGAGTTTGCCTGCTATAAAATGATAGAGTGGCAGTACATCTGCCATCTTCTTCACTACAGTAGTCTGGCTCTTGGCTTCTTCTAAGAGAACTGGTATGGGTTTTCTGCTGCAGGAAACATCGGGGAGAGCTGGTTTTCAACCCCAAAACATGGGGTTTAATATGTTTTTCCAGGAATTCTTGCAATATCTCAAATAGCTCTCCAGGTCCAGTTGACAAGTACATCCTTCATCTAATTGGTTCAATTATGCTGATTCACTGCTGATTCCTTGAACCAAAACTAGACACTGTTGCCAGAAACTGTTAATCGGCTGCCCATTTGCATGTGTCTCTCCTTTCTGCTGACTATTACATTGCCACAGCTAGTGTAGTTAATGTAAACTTTCTGTAGCTTTTCTCACTGCTATGATAGTGGCTATTTATATAAACAATTGATGTTGCAATTTGTTGCTGTGTCCTATTCAGCTTATCCCTTGTCAGTTCCTTATTTGGGGCAACCACCTTGATGAAGCTTCTATTATACACTCGTTAATATGCATATCTTTGCTGCAACTTACATGTATGTATGGTATACACACAAAGTTCCATTTTCTCTCCTAGAAGTTTTTGTAATATCGATAAATTTGATAATATGGTTCACCTTTATTAGCTTTGGTTATAACAGCATCTTTATTATGTATAAGAGCCTTAAGGTCAAGCATTTCATCTCTTGTAAGATTACAGTTATCGTTTGTATAACTGTTGATGGTAAGATTTGAATCCAGATGTATTTTATTTTTAGTCTTAGATGAAAAGGAAAGTATAAGTTGCATTCAATAATCAGAATTAAATTCTCAGAGATGTTAGGAACATGCTTATTTTCATTCTGCCTTATGATGGCTCAAATAGATGTAGCTAAAATATGTAACAAAATATGTTTGTGGAGTAAAGCATTGAAGCTAACAGCTTAGACTGTGGAAGTAATAATTTGCATTATGTGTGTTACACTATTAGAGAAAGTTATTAATCATTAGAAAACAAACTTTATTGAGTTCCTGGTTACTTCATGGCAGAAATATATTTTTAAAATTAATAACCCATAACGATCTATATTTCTGTAATTGCTTATTGTGTTTGGAATGTTTATTAATTTAAATCAAAAGTTTTACTGAAACTTTTATATACACACACATACATTCACATATGAATATATGCTATTCACCTCCTTTTAAGATGCTATTTTTTTTGTTTTTTAACCCTAAAGTGAAGCTGCTGCCATTATATTACTTTCTCACAATTACCAGCAGTTCTGAACCCATTCTACTATAGGAACAATCTTAGACCAACTTTTCTAGACCTCATAACACTATGTTATAACATGAAAATTCAAGTGATATTTTTATTCCACCAGTGTACTTAATATACATATATATTTATATAGGTTGTTGTTAGCTGTTACATAGAAAGAAATCAATAAAAAGGTGAAACTGATTGTGCTAGATAGACTTATTGCCTTAATAGAAATCCCGGCTCAAGAAAGAATTGTACAGGACAAGTACAATATGTATATATGTACAATATTCTTCCCAACCCCTATAAACATTCTCACCTCTGTTTTTAGAAATTATAAATCCTGTTCAGCCATGAGATACATGTTTGACAAGTTCTCACATCTTTGATACTAAAAAAGAACTGTATTTTATATATGTAATGTATTTGTCAATACATATAATAAAGTTATATTTTGTGGGTTTTTCTTTTCTATTTTCTATAATCCAGGAATTGATAATGGACATTCTTTTAATACTTGCTGTTTCTGACTTAGAAGTTAGATGTAAAACTCTAAATTTAGCTCTACAGTCAGTGTCTTACAAGAATGATGAAGAGGTAAGAAATCAGATTAGCTATGACTAAACTTTTACATTTATTTTGTGTTCTCCAGGAACATTTAAAAGTCATGAAAGAACCTTATATTTTTATTCTTACAAAAGTCTGACTAAATAAACCTTCACTAATTATTCTTATGGAAAAATGATATCCATGTTTGTTAGAATGTAGAGTGAGATTAACATTATGTGTACTGTTATACATGCTATCATTGAAAGTAGCTAATTGGGTTTTTATACGCTTTGTTTTCTTGTAAATAATATGATGCTAAGTATATGTACCTGATATTTGTACTGTTTAGATAGTTTTTATATTGAAAAAAGGAGGTGACTATAAAACCCACAATGTTGTAGTACACAGGTAGACACAGGTATAGTTGTTACAGTTGCAAAATTCCCAGGAATTTTGAGAATGATAAATTTCTATCAACAATTTTGATAATTTTATAGGAATATTAGGAATTTTAATTTTGTAATATTGAAAAGATTAGTGACCTTATATCAGGGTATTCAGAGTAACCCATTTGTTTCAGAAGAAAGTAGAAACATGCTCTAAACAATTTTAAACATTGGTTTAAAATTATTTGAACACTTATTTTCTTAATTTTAGAACACAATCATAACACAGTTTTGCTTAACACATTGTGCATAACAAAAGTTATTTAAACGATATTGGATATATCTAGCATAAAAGACTATAGGTTATTAGTATGTATAAGACCCTACCAAATTCACTATTTTTCTACATTTCAGGTGCATAGTGATATAAAAATCTCAAATTTCATGGCAACAACTATTTAAATGGTATATTTCACAGTGGTGTAATAGAGGAAGGCCTACAACTTTGTTTGGCATATCTGTTGTCTAATGTCAAGTTGAGAGATGGATAAGTGGTTCTCGTTTTCTCTGTTACTTCTACCAGAACTTTCCTTTTCAACTTTTCTTGGAACTTAAAAGAATCACAGCAGTGCTTTTGTCACGTGTGAAACTCATACTCATCACTGGATATGACTGTTAAACAAATCTATGAAATAAATAAATCCTTG